ATTTACTCGGAATTAGGGATTTTGCATATAATAAAAGCAGAGGGCATAGAGGGAAAGATGAGGCCTTTTGTTTTTTTTTTTTAAGTAAAGTTGTCTATGTGTGTTTGAAGCTTTTATTGATCGCGTTCAATTATTAGAGAACAAAGATGTCTTATAGTTAAGGAAATTTAAATTTTGCCAGTATATTAAAAGCACTTTTAAATACTCAGTTTACCTAAAGCTACTATGGATAAAATGACAGGTCACACTGGTCAGTATTTGAAATATAACAAATTATGACAGAAAACAAACAAACAAAAAAATAAAAGCAAGAAAAAAACATTCAATCTAACAGAGGAAGTTGTTTGTGGTTATATTGACAGTAATAATGGTTACATAGTGAATCATGAAGCAGATAGTTGTACAAGTTGTGAGTAATACTCTTAAATATAAATGGGAGCTGGTTTCACATCACTCAGATATAAAACTGCAATGCTGTTATTTTGTATCTCATAAGTCAAATCAGATACCAGTCAATAACTGAAGTCCGACAAGGAAATTACCAAAATTCATGACTTCATGTTGATTTGGGTTTTTCAGCTGAATATCAAAAAAAAAAAAAACACCTTTTAACAACAATAACCTCTTTCATCTGTGAGGGTGGGAAAAAAAATGAGAGAAAAAAATCAGGACAGAAAGTGGAAGGTGACATGGTCTAATATTTGGCAAAACAACCAAGTGAAACTGATGTTAAATCTATGTAGAAGGAGTGCATTAGTAAGACATGTAAATTATGTAAAGTTATTTTAGAATGCTTTTCTTGATAGTGGTCTTTGGTGGATGAGAACATAAGGAAGGGCCGAGGGGAGGTGATAGCATCTGTTGTGGATAAGACTAGTGATGACATTGAAAAAGAATAATGAAACAAGTGTGACCACAAGAACCTTGACTCCCAGTATAGGTTTGAGTTTTAATGAGCACCAATTCACTCGGCCTCTCAAGGAAAATTTGTGCAGGCAGATACAGCAAGTCTATTATAAGTTTGTTGAACTCAAGAAAATTTTGGCATGTACAGTACAACGCAGTAACGATCTGTTCTAAAGAGCAGTTCTTCTCTCACTGCATTTTCCAATTCCATCTTAAGTAAACAAAGCTGCTTCCAACCCTGGAAAAGCTACTTCTGGGTTTGTGTATTTTGTTTAGTGAAGGTGAGCTCCAGATAAATTTCAAAACTTAAATTTTCAATTAAATTCAATAATTACATGTAGAAATATTTGTCTACACTTGTAGGAGTTCAAAGCATTATTTGTTTACTCCTTTCTAAGTTTAATGATAATTTCGCCCCACATTAGCTGCTAAGAACAGGGAATGGTGATTGTGGTGGCTGTGGGGTGGGGACTTATATATTTGTTTCCTTATCACTTTTAAACCGTTTCCCGTTTGTTTTATTCACTGAGACAACCGGTGGTCATCATATTGAAACTCGGGGGTTTATGGAGAATTGCACTCCTACTGTACATCTTTTGTTGGGCAATTGTTTTCAAAGCTCTTCCGTATTCCCACATAAGCGCTTGGGATGCTCATTCATCACCACTAACGCGCCAATAAAGTTGTAAATAAGCTTTCGGGGTAGATACAGTAAGAGCTGAAATGTCGCGTCATGAGCTGTCCATGGTGCTGATCTGGAAAGAAAAGTCACTGAGTAGCAATGCTTTGTTAAACTCTGTACACTTTACTTATATATATATATATATAACGGTGTGTATATATATATATATATATATATATATATATATATATATATATATATATTTCAGCTAGATACACTTCCGCTTTGTAAGACCGCGCATGTGTATCTGTGCTGCAGCAACGTGCATCGGTTCCTTTCCAACCTCAGCGTTAATCTGCATTCACTCTGAGGTTTTAAAGCTTTTCTTCTCAAACGCTCGTTGCATGAGTGTTTTAATACTGGAACCTTAGTCATCTTTGGAAGGTATTTTAGGCATCTTCCTGACTATCGAACAGGACACAGGCGAGCTGTTTAATATCGAGCTTTCTGACTTTCATTAATTCAGCTCTGCCTGATCGCACTTCGACTCACGTCAGTCCGTCGGTCTGTCTGTCTAAGGTGAAGAATCGCTGAGCCTTTACTGCCGGCGTGCGTAATGTATCTTAAAGAGGAAACACAGTAAGACGGACATGTCCATCTGCAGAAAAAAGGAAACGAAGATGATGATGACGGCTTCACCGAAGTCAATATTCAGGTGCTCAATAGCAATGGCGAAACCTTCCCTCCCACTGAAGCGGATGCTATGGGTTTTTATTGTTTTTAGTCTCTCTCAAAGGTAAGCAATAAATATCCATATTTCCTTTCATACTGTAAATATGTGTCAGCTCTGCGAGACAGCATATTTGTTATTCTGTTGTAATTGCACAAAGCGATGCGAAGCGTCCTCCCATCTAATACCACCCAGCTATTTTTAGATTTTTTTTTCTACATTTGATAAGAAATAGGCTATACACCCGAATAAATGCCTGTTTCACCCGTGACTCTAAATTAAATTATTTTAAAACACAACAACACTTATATCAAATTATTTATACAGATAAGAACAAATACCCACACACCCCATAGAAGATGTTGTATATTTCCCCCCCTATTTATTATTAGACAGAACCCTGCCGTTAGATGCTTCGTTCAGATTCCCTCTCAGTATGTCTCTGGTTAGAAATAGCATAGTGGCTAAGTTGGAGGAAGCTAAAGCTACATAATCTCTCTTCAAGGATCAAGTCTATTTCAGGAGTCAAAGCTTCCTTAATAAACTTGTGTAGGATTAAGCCTCAGGTGATATATTGGAAAACTGTGGGTTTTATTTGACAGCTTGGGTATAATTTAGAGCATGTGTTTTGATCTGAAATAGGAAGAATTTCAAAATGGCAGACAACCACACAGAGAACACCAGATTAAAGCACACTGAGGTCTAAGACAGCACAGAATAAACCTCAATGGTTTTCATTGCAGTTTTTACTGTGCTTAAGGTGTAGGTGATTTTTTTTTTTGTATAGGATAAAAGCTGTGTTCCTTTGGGAAGTCCATTCCATTGAGTTGAGATTAAAAACAGCTGATGTCTACCCCCCCTCCTCCCATCGTTTCCTCTTGTATTGCATCAAGAGTGGAAAATGGAGACAGATAAATCAGTTTTCAGCACGTTAATCCAAAGACAGGGCTCATTGTCTCACCTTTCCTTTGTGAGATCTGATAATTTCTAATTGTATACCCAATTAATGCCCCAATGTGCTTGAGAAAACACTGCATTCTTTCCATTTCCAGCTAAGATATTTCAGTTGAGATCTTGATACCTATTGAGTATAAACAATCAGTGACTACTACTGCAAATGAGACAACATATTTCTCCAGTTAATCTTAATGGTCTGATAGATGAAATGATTGTTTTTAAACTGAAGTTGTTCATGTTATATAAACATTATTATATATGCATAATATAGGTCCTGCAGACTGTATTATTAAAATAAGACTGCAGTCGTATCACTAGTAGGACCTAATCTTTGCTCTGAAAGTCAATTATTATTAATTTATGAAAACTCTTACATAACATATTTCCCAAGTTCTCTACATGCTTTCAGTGTGATCTATGCTACTTTGTGACTCACTGACATCTGCTATGTGCATTGATGTCAGACTTCATTAGGATACATGGACCTGAGTGTACTGCCAGATATAGATATATGCTTGCTCTATCTATCTATCTTGTCTTGTCTTAGTGTATTTTGTTGTTAATGCGATTGTGGCAGTAGTGAATTTATTCAGTGGAAGCTTGACATGAAGATTGTTCAACATTCAAGAGAAATAAGAAGTTGACATCCAGGAAATAGTCCTGGGAACATTGCCTGGGTATTCCCACTTCTTCCCACAATCCAAAAACATGACTTTGGTGTGAGTGTGTTTCTTTTTTATGGTTGCATGTCCATTTGTCCAGGGTATACAGTACCAAACATTTAGCTTATACTGGGACCAACAGCTGTTTTAAATCTTCGTTGTGCAAAAAAAAAAAAAAAAAATCATTAAGGAAGACTTGGACGATGCATGATCATAGAAAACTATGATCATGCATGTTTTTATTAGCCGTGTGTGATATATCTTCTCTTACCAGTTGGTTACTTTTTATACTGAAAAGAAGTATCATTCCATCCTGTTGCCATTGGTGCATCTTTTTATGGAGGGGGAGCCTTGGCTATATGCTACTTGTTGGGAATGTTACAGTGGTAGCAATAACGGTCATTATTAAGTGTGTCCCTGAAACAGAGGAACATTCCTGGAATTTGTTAGGAAAAGGGTTATTGGTCATAACAGTAATATTGAAAACTATGCCGTCAGTACTTTCCATATTTTTATTTTAACAAACAGTAAGTGGTAGCATAGTTACCCTAAAAAAATGAAGAGTAGAGATGAAAAATTAGAATTTCGTGTTTGCTTTGATTGATTGTTTTTCTTTTCTTTCCCCTGCTTTAACAACTTCTAGCTAACATAACAAAAATGTTCATGTTTACCCAACATTTCTGCTGGGCCTTCCTTCCTTAGGCTTGAATTGGAGGAATAGGTTGCAGACTCACTTCTCCAGAAAAAGGTGTCCTTTATGGAATCCAAACTGTGTGGAATGTTTCAGAGATAGTCTTATTTGGTGTTGGGCGGACAGGGTTACTCAGACTGCGGTTGTTCCTTGGTGAATGGAGAAGCTGACTGCAACTTAGATTTCCTGCGGTACTTGAACGGGCTGTGGTGCAGATGAAACCTTTGCTCGGTGAGAAGTTCAAACGACCTCTTGGGAAAAGTGGATCCAAACTTCCTGTTTGGAACCCCAGCTCAGTTAGAAGCTCAGTTGATCTTTCCAAAGAAAGAAGGTCCGAACAAATCCTGTGTGCAGGATGACTTCCTGCCGAGAGGCAAAAACAAAGTTAAGACTCAGGTTGACAAAAATTCAGTTTGACTCAGCAAAACTCAGCTTGACTAGAGTTCCCAAAACTGGCAAACAAAAACTCAGGTTAGACTCTGCTAAACTAAGCATGGCTAGAGTACCCAGTATTGGCAAAATAAAGACTCAGGTTAGACTCTGCTAAACTAAGCATGGGTAGAGTACCCTGTATTGGCAAAACAAAGACTCAGGTTAGACTCTGCTAAACTAAGCATGGCTAGAGTACCCTGTATTGGCAAACACTCTGGCGTCGAGGTAGTGGCAGTCAGCAGCTTAAGAGCACTCCGCAGGTAATTAGGCAATGAGCTGCAGGTGTGCAGGGAAACCCAATGAGGACGGGGCACCACCTGGTGGAGGAGGAAAAGAAACACAAAAACTGGATTCCTGACAGTTAGTGCTGAAGGTAAAACTGACAAAACTTCACTGACAGAAAATTTTTATTTCAGATCTATTTGATCTGTTTTAAACAGAAAACAAACCAAAACTAAGTTGACTATAAAAGTGTTTCAGTGAAATGGAGCAGAGATAAGAAATGTAAACACTTCACTGGCCATTTATGTTAGTATGCTTTGCACAACTGGGTATTGGTTTAATATTTAGACAAAATTTGCTTAACATGTTCAAAGCTACGGTTATGTTTATTTGATCTTAAACCAGACTGCCAATTCTTTTCTGATCTCTGACATTAACAATTTAACTTTGTTAATGTATTGTTCTTGAAAAAACATGAGACAATACTGTACTTGTTTATTAGTTACAGTATATATTGCTAAAAAGAAGATACTACTATGTTGATGTCTCAGACGTTATTTTTTTTAATTATTGTAATTAATATCCTCTTGTAAATATGATGAGCTGCATTTTCTTTTTTAGTTTTTCCATTTGCTTTGATTCAACCTTAGTGTTTTTATTCTTATCTCTACAAACAATAACTGACATATGCATAAATAAAAACACAAATACTCATATAACATAAACTTCCACTTATATGATGTAGTCTTATTTTCATCTAATACTTCAAGTCTTTAGGTATTAAATTAATAGGAAGACTCTTAATGCTGTCTGCACTACAGAACATAAGGCTATTTTTTAATCTGAAATGTGTTCATACAGGGAAAGACATACTTCAATATGTTTAAAAAAGCAGTCCAGCTTTTTGGGAAAAAACAAACAAACACTTTTTTCTAACTCACATTGCTATCCTATCTTCTCTCTGCCTCTCCTTGTTTATATTTAAAAAAAGGATTTAACATTTTAGGCATTCAATTAATGGTGGAGTGAAAAAGCTGTTAATTAAATTCATTAAAGTCTAAGGAAGATTACTGAGCAACACACTTTATCTTCAGACCTAGTTCAACATACTTGATCTTTTATACCTAGTTCATAACACAAGAAAGCCATTTGCCTCTGTGCTTTTCTTTGGAGACAGTTTTGCAAATTCCAGGTTTATTATTATTTGATACAAACAAAAATACAATACTTAACTGAAATAAAGAAAAATAATATTGTTTTAACTTGTGTTTTAAGGACTTTTTCAAGTTAAAAAGAAGAAAAGAAAGGATTTCTTGTAGCAGTCTGTCTTACAGTGGATATGCCTTTGCATGAAGACCTTTTGTTGATGCTTGACAGTTTGAATATAAGCATGCTTAGAGTGGTTTGTAATGTTCTTCATGTTATGTAGAATTAATTCCTAAATAATATCCAGATTTTCTAAAAAAACAATTCCAGAACAAAGCCTGCCTTCTTTATTAGCCAGTTCAAGTCAACGGCTTTGATGCTGCTAGCCAATAGATCATAGCAGATGCAATCATACACTCCACAATAGTCTTATAGAAGATGCACTGTGTCCTTGAGTGTTTTTTTTTAAACATGAACACACTGAAGGACCTCAAATTCCTCAAGAAACTCAGGCTGCTTTGCCTCTTCTTGTAGATGGCTTCACAATTGCATCTCCAGTCCAGTCTGTTGTTCAGGTGCATACCAAGGTATCTATACTCCACCACCTTCACCTTTTCTTCCATGTTGGTGATAGTGTTGGATCTATTCTTTTATTCCTGAAATAACCCTCATTTTGCTTGGGAAAATTCTCAGCCATCTAGGTCATACTCATTCCAAAACAAAAAACAACAACAATCCACTGGACTTTGTTTCTAAGTTTAAAGACGTTTCGCTTCCCATCCAGGAAGCTCTCAAAATGTCAGAAATAGCGTTGAGTTTGAGGACTTGTAGGCAGCTCCTGTTGGGCTAATGTATAAAGCCCAGAAAAAAGGGATACAGAGAAAACAATCCCTGAGTGGTCCTCTGTGTTTCTGACTACTTGGATAAGAGTCGATAAGAGCCATCTGGGAAGGTGT